GGTATACAGGTAAACAAGTAGGACAGGTTGAGTGTGTACAGGTAAACAACTAGGCCAGGTGGAGTGTACAGGTAAACAACTAGGACAGGTAGAGTCTACAGGTAAACAACTAGGACAGGTGGGGTGTACAGGTAAACAACTAGGAAAAGTGGGGGTATACAGATAAACAACTAGGACAGGTCGGGGTTGTACAGGTGAACAACTAGGACAGGTGAGGGTATTCAAGTAAACAACTAGGACAGGTGAGGTATACAGGTAAACAACTAGGACAGGTGGGGGTATACAGGTAAACAACTAGGACAGATGGGGGTATACAGGATAAGTTGGGAGTGTACAAAATACACAATTTAGAGAAATGTTTATCGGAAAGGGGATATACTTTTGTATATATTTTCACATAACTTTGGCTGCAGAATCTTGTTGTAGAATCTTTGAACCATGGCTTCTTCTGACGTATCTACTGAGCAGCTATAGTGGTGCGATAAAAAATCAAACCACAAAATATCAAACTGGCAAGTCCTGAGCTCACGTGTATAGTAGGCTAATTGGCATGTTTCAAGTGTTTCACAAACACATTTTATTGTTTATCCATCTTACTCCCACAAACATTCTTATATTGAATTGTCTGAATTGTTTGGTAAAACTTGTGCTGATTTTCCTTATCTTCAGCCATTCTCTGACAATAATGTCAGACAGATGAGGCAATGTACACTCTAAAGCTACTGATCAGGAAAAATGTAACCATGACGACAGAAATGTTATGCATCAATAATTCATTGATATCTGATAAGGTTAATGTCTTCAGTCTTTTACAAAATTTGAACAATATTTTCCTAGACATAAATCGCTGATTAACAGATCATTGTTTGTTTCTGTATGGATGCCAAGATCTATTTTTTCTGTAAATGCCAAGAGATAGTATTAAACTGTACGAGATCAATGACTGGCTTGGTTGATATAACCACTAGTTTGTTTCACTGCTTTTGCCTCGATGATTCCAACCCGAACTATTACATGGAATTTTCACAAAAGAGCAGGCTTGTGGAAAATGCAAACTGCCAGGAATCAAATTTGCATCCGTGATATTTGAATTGAGGCAACAAGGCAAAGTGTTACTGGGCAATCCATGGTCCCTCAATGGTTAATAGACGACACAAAAAGTAGCAAACAATGCTACTTTTTGTGTTTAATCTCAATTCTCGTATCATAAAATAATAACATGTACCTACCTACCAAATCTGTTAACTCTAGTTGAAGGAGTATAGGAGATAATTTTCAGACAAACAATTTCAAAACTTTGGATCAGAGGTCAAATATAGGTCACATGGTATATCGGTATGTGTCACTCCAAGATGTTCCTTCATACTGAATTGGATAACTACAGGTCAATAAGTACAGGAAATATTTTGTAGACGAACTTTTGGGACAAAAGAAAGAGTTCCGATGGAAGGAGTATATGTAGATAACCTAGAATGCTCTCTGGTAGTACTAATGGGGAACTTAATAACAAGAACATATGGATGTGTCACCCTAATTCATGGAGCTACCGACCCTTTAAATCCAGTGGAGGAGAGCTTGATAAATATATTATTTTCTAAAAGGAGAGTTGTTTTAAATAACATAATACATGTACTGGTTGTATCCATCTTCCCATAAGTTATGACAAAATTTCCCTTTGACCGATTTAAAACATTGAACAGTTATATGTTATAGCAGTAACAACACTCACAATAAAAACTATCATTATTTAGTGACAGGCTGTTATGACGTCATGTTCATCACATCATTGACCCTACTCCTATTATATTAACGGTTGAGAAATTCCGCTCCCTCCCTATATAGGTCCATATTACTGTATCCCAATAAGGTAACACATCACGTTGACTGAGAATTATCTCAGGAAGACAGCCTTACAAGGCTACTTTACAAACGGAAGAGATCAGCCAAGTGCCACTACACTACAAGGGGTGACGTTGAAGTGATCTCCTACAGCACAATGTAGCCGACAACTTGTTACATTCTACATAACATCGAGTGGTATTACAACGATCATTCCACAAGCTTACTGACAAATACAACTGTATGTTTTGTTGATGATTTCGGGTTGCAAGCTTACTTACATCTGAAGAGGACAGAAAAATTCAATGGGAACAGACTGGGGTTCAAACATTGGACCTACGAATGCTAGACAGAACCGCTAACACACAGAGCTACCTGGTTACTGGGAGTGACCTCAGGCACAGTCTTGTGACATACCTTCGCAACATGATTTGCAGCCCAGGTATATCTCCAGGTATTCGTCCCCCCCCCCCCCAATTTGCCAAGAGCCAGACCAGGATTCTAACTTGGGACCTCCAAATTGTCTAGATAGATAGTCAATTCATTGTCACATTGTTCCGCCAAACAACAATTGTGATGAATATGTACAAATGTATGTATGAATTGGTACAGCAACTAGGAATCTGTAAACATCCAAGCAAACAGCCCTGACAGCATTTCAAATACTGGGATTGCAGCATTTAGGGGGTTATTTGTATGTCCATCTTTGGGATACTTGTTTGTTTACCAGGTATAAGAAACTTGTAAGTTTGAAGTGTTGGGCACTAGATGAGTGATGAACACCTCTGTATCTGATTGTACCCAGCACCTGGCTCCACCACACCAGGGTTACAGCAATCAACCTACAGATGGTTGTACTTTTACACATCAAAGAGTTCCACAAAGGGGATTAACCGATTGATCCTGTCAGCTGAGAGGGTCACATGCCAAAACAAAAACAAGCCAATATTTTGGAAATAGCACAAATAAATGAGGTTCATTTTTCATCCTAATTCTCAGTTCATGATGGAATTTTTTACCTGTCATCTCTCATATCAAATCTTCCAGCAAAAGATAAAAAGTAAAATGTTTCCAAAATTACTCTGACATGGTCTGACCTTTACCATGATCTAATAATCTGATTTCAATGTTTGTCGGAGCTCTAGACTGATATTTTACATGTAAATATTCACATATGAAATGCCAACTGTTTCCATGTACGACCAAATAAATTGGTGTAATGACACTAAAACTGATATCAAGCAAATCTGTCTAGACTTGCCTAGACTACAAACTCTCCAGATATGTCATTGTACAAGTTTTTGTACATTTAATATCAATATTTTTTTCCTATAGATCACTCATTGTTGGAAAGCTGAACAATGTAGATATGTCCTAAGAGACGAGTGAAGGCCTCACTTCACAGCCATAAAGATACAACTGTCACCACTGTCAACCAGTCCGGCCTTCTCACGCTAACATTTCTACCACTTAATGATTTTTTAATGATCTTTATAAATCATAATTGTCTGTGTGTAAAACACACTTTATCAGCAACATATTTTTACTGTAAACACCAGTTCACTTAATTAAGGTCTACAAATTCTTTTCAAATCTTTTCAACAATCTTTTTGAGAGTTAACCCAGATCTGCCTCCTTGACACAATGATCTACACTACTTTTCTTCTGTGGTCAGTAATACTTCATTTCTTCAAAACAATTTTCAGTGAAACAATAGATACTTAAAACAAGAATTATCTTAACCTTTAACCTCACAAAAAGTTAAATCAATTTAAAGCTAGAGTAACCTTGACCTATAACCTTGCAAAAAATTAAACCATATTAAAGCTAGAGTGAACATGACCTTTAAACTCACAAAAAGTTGAATCAATTAAAACAAGAATGAACTTGACCTTTGACCTCACAAAGAGTTAAAATATTAAAATAATAATGAACTTGATCTTAAGCCTCAGTGACTTACAATGCTGTAACAGATAACAGGTGGCAGAAGAAAAATTTTATTATGCCCCTCCCCAAACAATCGTTAAAACAAAGCTCCTCCCCAAAATAATGATTGTAAATAAAATGCCCCTCCCTCAAACTAATGTAAAAATGATACCCCTCCCCCAAACCGTTGTAAAACCAAGGTGCATGTGTTCATGGCATTTGGCATTCTGTGCTAAACTGCCTTTTATATGGCAGTTTGGCATATGAACATTAAATGCCATGACCTGTAAAATCTCTCTCCTCTGGATATGATATAGGGTCTTCCAACACCTATCCCAAGGCTAACTGCATTGTTACTCTGAGTTACAGCAGGGTGGAATGGTAATCAGCTGATATACAGTGTCACATGTGGCCCCTTAATGCCACATGTGGTCCTGACAAGCAACTCAGTGTATGCGAGGTAAAGATCTCAAAAAAGTCAAACATGCTGGTGAGGTAAGGTTTCAAAAGTCAAATCAATTCTATTTATGAATATACTCCTAAACACATCTGGACAGCATATAGAAGTTAGCAATGTACATGTAGTTCCTTTCTTAACTACTCCACCTTCTTCATTATAAATTGTGTTCTTTTATTTCAATTTTTTCCTTGACCTGTAATTATAAAACCTAAATGGGTAAACATGGAAGATGAATGAAAATCTTCTTTTATAGCTTTCCTAATTGAAAACAAAACATGAAATAAAGAAATATAATGTTACAAACACAGTGAAACAGGTGTACAAGCTAGGAAGCAAGCAGAGGTTTTGTGACTCAATACTTCAATAGGCTAGGTCTCCTTGTGTAAAACAGTACTGGAGATAACTACAAGTCTCTCTTTTGATCAGCCCGACTCAAATATCCTAAACCTTAACCTCAGCAATAAATGTTGAAATTGTTGTTTTAGAGAATCATTCAAACTTACGCGAGGACTTTTTTTTTGTCATTACAGATTACAGAATCGTTCTCCGATTAAGTTCTTTCCTTTTGAAACTTTAAATACTGTTCAAAGTAATTTTTTCAAAAACTTTGCAAATAAATTTTCTTTGCATCTTTATTGAGAAAAAGATTTTCCATTAATACCTTGAAAATATGATACATGCTAGTGTTTTGTACTGTGTTAGATGACACAGTAAGGTAGGACAAACAGAAACCCCGTAAATGTCACAGAGTTTTAAAACAGTACAGAATGCCTACCGACTGTGAGCGCTTGCTGCTGTTGACGGTTGACTGGGAAACCAGGGAACCGGAACTGGGACTACGGTCATTGAACTGAAACTAAACAGCAAATAACAGCATACAACATCAAATTTAACAGGGAGGCAGGCTTGGGTACAGTGAAACACATCTTAAAACATGCAGTCAGCCGAAACGTCTCCATATCTCCACCCATCTATGGTTATGTAATGAATTTGATATTTTTTCATTTGTTGGAATGGACAATCTCATAAGGAGTAATATTGCCTTTGTTAAAATCAAAATCCAAAATATACAATTAAAACATGTTACTGTTACCATTCCAGACATCATTTGTGACCTGGTATGGTATATATAAGTGATAATCTCATTTATTTCTGAACTTTTAACTTCATGTTTTTCCACATTTCTCACTGCCCAAGACAAAATATCATTCATAAGCAACAACTGGCAAATCAAAATTTCAAATGAACCATCATAAAAGCAACAACAACCAAAAAAAACCTTTTTCAATATTTCAAATTCAATTCTCTAATGATCAATTGGAGAACATTATAAACCAACTTATCAAGAATTTTGGAAATTTAGTGAATCTACTTTACAGATGGTTCATTTTACTTAGCAACAAGTAAAGAAATTGACATTGGTTTCTGTGTAACCATGGTAACATTATACAAACTTATAATTATATAGTCTATACAGCGTGTAATTACATCACTCAAATGTTACATGTTAAATTGAAACGTATGTACCCTTATTGGGATTATAATCACTGTATAGTATTTCAGAAGTTGTATTTAAAAATCTATTGCTGACATTATTCACACAGAAACCTGACAATGTAACAATATAGAATTACAACAACGATTATTATATAACGCAAAGTAAAAAGGTAAAGGCTAGGAAAAAACTATGGCAATTGCATCACAACACAAGATGAAATCCCTGGCATTTTACATCTTCATACAAATGTTTTATCAAAAGTGATAATTCACTTGTACACTTAGTACAAGCACTATCATGATATTTATGGGGTTATTACACGAGTGAGAGTTACTGTAGTACAAAAGTGAGAGTTACCGTAGTTATTACAAAAGTTACAACACTAGTAGTATGATAGTGAGGATTGCCCTAGTTACTATGATAGTGAGAGTTACCGTAGTTATTACAAAAGTTACAACACTAGTAGTATATAGTGAGGATTGCCCTAGTTACTATGATAGTGAGAGTTACCGTAGTTATTACAAAAGTTACAACACTAGTAGTATATAGTGAGGATTGCCCTAGTTACTATGATAGTGAGAGTTACCGTAGTTATTACAAAAGTTACAACACTAGTAGTATATAGTGAGGATTGCCCTAGTTACTATGATAGTGAGAGTTACCGTAGTTATTACAAAAGTTACAACACTAGTAGTATATAGTGAGGATTGCCCTAGTTACTATGATAGTGAGAGTTACCGTAGTTATTACAAAAGTTACAACACTAGTAGTATATAGTGAGGATTGCCCTAGTTACTATGATAGTGAGAGTTACCGTAGTTATTACAAAAGTTACAACACTAGTAGTATATAGTGAGGATTGCCCTAGTTACTATGATAGTGAGAGTTACCGTAGTTATTACAAAAGTTACAACACTAGTAGTATATAGTGAGGATTGCCCTAGTTACTATGATAGTGAGAGTTACCGTAGTTATTACAAAAGTTACAACACTAGTAGTATATAGTGAGGATTGCCCTAGTTACTATGATAGTGAGAGTTACCGTAGTTATTACAAAAGTTACAACACTAGTAGTATATAGTGAGGATTGCCCTAGTTACTATGATAGTGAGAGTTACCGTAGTTATTACAAAAGTTACAACACTAGTAGTATATAGTGAGGATTGCCCTAGTTACTATGATAGTGAGAGTTACCGTAGTTATTACAAAAGTTACAACACTAGTAGTATATAGTGAGGATTGCCCTAGTTACTATGATAGTGAGAGTTACCGTAGTTATTACAAAAGTTACAACACTAGTAGTATATAGTGAGGATTGCCCTAGTTACTATGATAGTGAGAGTTACCGTAGTTATTACAAAAGTTACAACACTAGTAGTATATAGTGAGGATTGCCCTAGTTACTATGATAGTGAGAGTTACCGTAGTTATTACAAAAGTTACAACACTAGTAGTATATAGTGAGGATTGCCCTAGTTACTATGATAGTGAGAGTTACCGTAGTTATTACAAAAGTTACAACACTAGTAGTATATAGTGAGGATTGCCCTAGTTACTATGATAGTGAGAGTTACCGTAGTTATTACAAAAGTTACAACACTAGTAGTATATAGTGAGGATTGCCCTAGTTACTATGATAGTGAGAGTTACCGTAGTTATTACAAAAGTTACAACACTAGTAGTATATAGTGAGGATTGCCCTAGTTACTATGATAGTGAGAGTTACCGTAGTTATTACAAAAGTTACAACACTAGTAGTATATAGTGAGGATTGCCCTAGTTACTATGATAGTGAGAGTTACCGTAGTTATTACAAAAGTTACAACACTAGTAGTATATAGTGAGGATTGCCCTAGTTACTATGATAGTGAGAGTTACCGTAGTTATTACAAAAGTTACAACACTAGTAGTATATAGTGAGGATTGCCCTAGTTACTATGATAGTGAGAGTTACCGTAGTTATTACAAAAGTTACAACACTAGTAGTATATAGTGAGGATTGCTCTAGTTACTATGATAGTGAGAGTTAACCTTAGTTATTACAAAAGTTACAACACTAGTAGTATATAGTGAGGATTGGCCTAGTTACTATGATAGTGAGAGTTAACCTTAGATTACAAAAGTTACAACACTTGTAGTATATAGTGAGGATTGCCCTAGTTACTATGATAGTAACTAGAGCAATCCTCACTAGTAGTATATAGTGAGGATTGCCCTAGTTACTATGATAGTGAGAGTTACCGTAGTTCACTGTAAAAGTGAGGATTAATGGAAATACTATGAAGTGGTGCTTTTTGTTTCAGGAATTTGTATATCAAGAATATTGATAAGAAAAGAAAGAAAGAAATCGTTCTACGAAGTATAGGTTTTGTGTAATCTTAGCAAACAACCAAAATTAGAGACAGATTTCTAACTGATCATCCTGTAAATATACAGTTTATAAATACATGCAAAGGAAAATGCATCAACAGAAGTTTATCAAGCACAAACAACGTAAAACAGCACACCTACATGCAAAGAATAGCTCTAACGATACCAACAAACAATGCTTCATCGTTGACAATGATAACGTTTTAGTACAATGACCTATCAGATCTGTTAGCACTGTACCATCTTTACTGTGTTACAGACAGAAAAGTCAAAGCAAAGGTTTACGAGCTGTTGAATTTAAAAAGTTGCTACATAGCTACTTAAAGGTATATTTATGACTATCAGTTGAAGAAAATATGCCAACCTTTGAATTAAGTCTGTTTTAAGAGTTAGTTCCCTTTAACATTTATCTAAAAAATTAAATCATGCATTTTAATGAAAACGGTTTATCAATTACTCTCTTATTAGACCAAATTATCTTTTTAGACCAAATTATCTTTTTAAAGATAACTTACAAGTTTCCTAACATGAAATTGAACTCTTTTGAAAAGAGTGTAAATCACATTATTAAAGGTAGCATATTGCCTTAAGAAATTGTGTTCTGCTTAGGAAATATGTGCTTCAGTTTTTACACTTTATTGATCATACTGGAGTACCCATTATCATGTAACTTTTTATAGGTGCAACAGTTTTATAACATTTCCGGATGTAATAAATAAAAAATAGTACACATACAACTCCACTGCCCTCTTCATGCCTACACATTGTATCTTATTACATTACTTTAACCCAGTATCCTGTTCTAAATCTACCCCCTGATACTAGAGTCGACAGAAGACCCAAGTTGAGGAGATATTTAGAAAGGGGGTTATCAGTATCTTATCACCCACAGGAAATGTGTCTACCCCAGCTATATAATCTCAAACGCTGTCCAAACTCTCTTTTACCATAACAAAATTCAAAGAGATCTGGGCATTTTACAGGTACCCCCTGGATACACAGAACACTGATCACATTACTATAGGCCAGACTCTCTCTATATTGGGGTAATAAAACAAAATGTGGTTTCAAAAATACATTCAACTCAGTCAATGTAAATTGACCATGTTATTGGTTTGTGTGTTGGAATTTCTAAGCAAATTAAATTGCCTACAAGTACCATCTTTCTACATAACATGCCTATTTGGGCCCCTACCATTATGTTTTTGTACAAATATTTGTTAACCAGCAAGTATTCTAATGGGGTCTGGCTTTCATTGCTTCGGACAGATATAATTAGAGTACAAGTGAAATTTTGATTAGCAAAAATAATGCTCTCCAGCATATCTTAGTGGAATAATGATTTAGGTACAGTTTATGAGGGCATCTTATTTATTTACATAATGAAAACCTACTTACAAACACTCAAATTTCTTTTACTGCACTTGGATTTATAGTATTGCACTCACTATCTATTGGTGCACTAACATTTCTGTGCATCAGTGACAATTTTTAACTGCTCAAGGAAATAAATGTCTACAATCAAGGAAATTACAATGAAATAGACGCAGTCATTACAAATTTTAACTGAGTATTCAGAAAGGTGTCCTCCTCCAAACTCCCAGGTAAGTCAGTGGTTTTCCTTATCAGGACCAGTTCCGCGAAGATCACCTGAGAAGATCACCCAGGATACATAGAAGTCTATAAACATCACTAACACCTATATCAAATGGGCCAGCGGTATCACAACATTAGCCTGCCTTCCTTTTCATTTGGAGGGCCCTTTATCTGCATGGTAAGTGTTTGGCCAGGAATCTTTGACAGCCCTGTAGATAGTGCGGTTTAGTCAGTGATTATTGTAGGTATACAGTAGTGATACACACGGGAAATATGACCGAATCAGATAGGGATATCTAGGTACTTATCTAACTTTATATACATGTACATGTCAAAGTTAGTCATTTACACATTCCTTCTATATGATTATCATCAAACCCAACAAGGTCACTCACAAAATATCTATAGGTGTTGGGAGTCACAAAATATCTATAGGTGTTGGGAGTCACAAAATATCTATAGGTGTTGGGAGTCACAAAATATCTATAGGTGTTGGGAGTCACAAACTATTTATAGGTGTTGGGAGTCACAAACTATTTATAGGTGTTGGGAGTCACAAACATTTTGTCCAGGTAAGATTAAATATCATAATCAACAAATCTAATAAGCTCACTACAGACTTAACACTAAATGTTTGTCCTGTTTTATCCTGACTTTACACACAACCTAAGCTCACTACAGACTTTACATTAAACGTTTGTCCTGTTTTATCCTGACTTCACACACAACCTAAGCTCACTACAGACTTTACATTAAACATTTGTCCTGTTTTATCCTGACTTTACACACAACCTAAGCTCAGTACAGACTAAACACTAACTGCCTTTACTTTCTAAATAACCTTGCTCAAATTGAGTAAAGAATAACAGAAGCTTTATTTTTATGTTTATGCTACATTTTTAACTCAATTCCTATCAAACAGAACTTTGGCAAACTGCCTTATAGTTATCAGCTATCTTACAGGAAGTGTGATCGTATTCTCTAATCTTATTTCTTTAGAAACTAATTATATTTTTAAAACGACTCCAGTTCGAGAATAACAAAAAGTGGAAATACATTACTGTAATGTAGTGGTGTAAATTGACTGGCCAACCAATTCTGTTTGACTTTGTGAGAGTGACAACTGGTGGTCACGTCAATCTTCCCCAACAGTTTTTATCCTTTAACTCACTACAAGGTAATTATAGTGTGGCAAGGGCTTGTGAACTATTTCCATTAATGAGGTGTGTGCTTATTGGTGGAAACATTGCCTAGTTGTCTATCACTGACAGAACTAGGCATTGTGGTCATTAGTTACCACCAATGGCACAGTTAGGTATCCACATTGTCAGTGGTTACCTTCACTGACAATTGGGAACCCACAGTTAGGTATCCACATTGTCCGTGGCTACCCTCACCGAGACAGTTAGGTATCCATGTCGTCAGCAGTTACCTTCACTGAGACAGTTAGGTATCCACATTGTCCGTGGCTACCTTCACTGAGATAGTTAGGTATCCATGTCGTCAGTGGTTACCTTCACTGAGACAGTTAGATATCCACATTGTCCATGGCTACCCTCACCGAGACAGTTAGGTATCCATGTCGTCAGCAGTTACCTTCACTGAGACAGTTAGGTATACACATTGTCCGTGGCTACCCTCACTGAGACAGTTAGGTATCCACTTGGTCAGTAGTTATATTAACTGATACAATTAGGTATCCACGTCGTCAGTGGTTATATTAACTGATACAATTAGGTATCCACGTCGTCAGTGGTTACCTTCACTGAGACAGTTAGGTATCCACATTGTCCGTGGCTACCTTCACTGAGGCAGTTAGGTATCCACTTGGTCAGTAGTTATATCAACTGATACAATTAGGTATCCACGTCGTCAGTGGTTATATTAACCGATACAATTAGGTATCCACGTCGTCAGTGGTTACCTTCACTGAGATAGTTAGGTATCCACTTGGTCAGTAGTTATATTAACTGATACTATTAGGTATCCACGTCGTCAGTGGTTATATTAACTGATACAATTAGGTATCCACGTCGTCAGTGGCTACCCTCACTGAGACAGTTAGGTATCCATGTTGTCAGCAGTTACCTTCACTGAGACAGTTAGGTATTCACTTGGTCAGTAGTTACATTAACTGATACAATAAGGTATCCACGTCGTCAGTGGTTACCTTCACCGTTAGGCACCAGTGGTCAGTGGTAACTATCACTGACACATCTAGGTACCATCGTCAGTGGTTACCATCACTAAAACATAATAGGTACCGTGGCTACATTTACTGACACAGTTTGGTTACAATTTACCATCAAATACAAACCACTAACATCATTACAATCCCCCAGAACAAATTCCTCACAATTTTTTTGTTATCCAAAAAACAGTTTCTGATTTACAAAATTGATCATTACCAGCTGTACTGACATGAGAAAGAGGTTTTAGGTAACGCAGAAACATGTCAGTCATCTCCAGAACATGATTAGACGAGATCATAATTGTCAGTTATCATACACACGCTTTAATTCAACAATTATCACAAGAAATTCCAAACAACAGAGGAAAAACTACACAGAAAATGAATGGAGATCAGATACTGCAAAAATGGCAATAGTGGCTTCTGATTGGTTAAAATTGATGAAAGGTTGCTGCACCTGTGTTTGATTAAAGCAATAACCACAATCTAACATCATAATTAATTTTTATTATCCTGTCAGGAGGATAAAAGGATGAATGTCATACAACACTATGATTAAATAGCCTTGAAAAAATACAAGCTTTCAATAAACAGACCTTGGTGTTCATTGCAGAAAGCCTAGCCGTGATACTGAAACTAGGCATAGAGCAATATGTCTCATTTAGCATTAAATAAATAAGGAAATTTGATTGGACAGATTTGATGGATGATTTTATTTTATGTGTCATTAACAGTTTGTAATCCTCGTAAAAGTTAGCTATCTAATTAAGAAACCTAATTGAAAACATTACATACACATGAAAATTGACATTAAGCTTTTTTTAAAATACCAGTAGCAATTCATAACTAATACAGTGCACTCAGTGACTGACAGCACAGCAACATCCTAACATCAGGACAGCTACACTGTCCATCTTTAGCATGCTGATAAACTGCCACCTTTGTAAAGTCTTATACCTGGTGTTGATGGTAACCACGTCACACGGGTTGTATATGTATCACATCACTGTATGTGTACTAAGCATGCTATCATGTTACTCTAATCTTACTTAGAAAATCCTACAGTTTTATTTATTTCTACACATACCAATTCCTAAGCCAAGGAAATATCCAACATACATTACCATGCTTTTGGTTATGTTGTATATATCCATGCTATGGATTATGATAATCTATAAAATTAACGATTTAGCGGTATCCATGCCGATAACTAATTTACAAGTAACCCTCGTCAAAACTTTCAAGCATAATATTAGGCTTACATTTAGTTTTTTTATTCATAGCACCATATACTTGTTTTGAAAAGAAGAGGTCACAGCCTTGGACATCAAGGCCGAGGTAGATATATACTGGTAACCTATGGAAACTTCTTCAACATGCTTCCCAAACCTTCCTGTAATATAATCCTTTCCTATACAGCCTATTGCCTTAGACAACAATACCTCCTGGACTGACCATGATGTAAATTTCCTAGCCACGGTTTAACACGTTTCCATAGTAACCCTACACAAACAGTATCCATGACAACCTTACCTGTTGATCTGTTGGGGTGAAGGCCTCATCGTCGCTGACGTCTGTGTGGTCAGCATCGGAGTCAGGACCTGGTCAGACAAGGAAGATAATTAGTATGTGTCAAAAGCAATAAGTCAGTATACTTGTACAAACCCTATATAGAAAACATATATTGTTCACTGATAAAATGGCTGTCTTACATCTTACAGTGACCTGTGATCAGTGCCAGATCACAAATAACAGCCCACACACATGATCATATCTCTAACAACATTAGTACAGGACATTGTTTAAGATAATTTTTACTGTAACTGTCCAGTCTGTGTATTCTGAACCTAGGTTTAGCTCTGAAGTTAGTGATGATACCAGCCTTCATGTACAGGTAATTACATGTTTAGTCACTAGACAATGTAAATCCAAAATGATAATAACAGTAAAAGTTAATTACATAGACAGTATAATTAGGACTAGATCGTTTCCTGTCAAATCTCATCCTATTTGAATACATGTATGTTTTGGTCGACAAATTGATCACTGAAGAACCTCCCACACAAGATGATAATTGAGAACATATTTTTCTTCGATAAAAAAATAGTACAAATTAATCTGGAGAACATCCTTGAAGGGAACCACATGAGGTGCAGCCATAACAAGTACACCTCAGCTTTTTATATCACATAAGGAAGCTGAATATAAGCCTAACAAAAGACATGGGGTTTAATGCCAATCTAAGCAAAGTCAGTTAAGCAGAAAATATAGGTCACAGTGACCTACATTTGATATATTTGAGTGGTGCTCCGGAATATATACCTATCTAGGTAGTTTGATGATGGATGGCTTTTGTTTTTATTGTTTTACAGTCCATTAATAATTGAGGTTATTTTGCTGGGCTTCCAGTGTAAAAGTAATGGAGCTAAATACTTAAGTGTACCCAAGATGTCAGGCAGATGTACATACAGGCCGACAGAAATACTTGATGCTCTCTCCACTCCATTACAAGGACATAAAAAAAAGCTTAAGATAACTAAAACTTTTTTCAAAACAAATATTCTTTCAGTAAATCTAACACCAGATTTAGAAAATGAGACCTTGTGCCGTTGGATCCAATTGCAGCATGTTTTGTAGGTGGTGCTGTATCTCGGTAAATCTAGATCCATATAGAGGCCTTTAACTTTAAATGGGGGCAATGGGTGTCGCACTGAATCGGAGTAATAGGAGGGATTACATCTATTTGGGTACTTTTTTAAGAGATCAGAGATAATAAGGAAATTCTGATAATAAAATTATCCAGGAACTCTGTGTATTTCTGTACAGGCAGGTACACTGTACCACTGTCTATCAGTAGCTGGTGGTGTAATCTAACCCCCTTTACACATCTGGAGAGGCCCAGACAGGCTCCTGTTTACATGGTGGTGAAAAATGTGAGATTATGTTATTACAATGTGACACTTCTGCTATGTAAACTGCAGCCTTGACCGTTCCTATCTGCTGACCAAATATTTACAGCGGTCAGACGGGTTCTCTATAACACTGACAGGGGACATACTCCACAGTTAACATGGGAAAGTTAAAACAACCTGATATTTATCTCATCACTACCTCATTTACAAACAAGAGGTCCACAGGGCCCGAATGGATGTCCTACATCTGATAACAACAGTAATATCAGTCCCTTAGCTGCACAGGGAAAACAATTTCTTCATTGTGCATGTAAAATGATTACTTAGTTGTACAGGAAATTGTGAACTTGCTTGTGTCCTTATTACTGAGACCACCATAGGAAACTCACACCTAACGTTTTCATGTGTACAGGACACAGGGCTACCATTTTATGTCTCAGCTAAATAGGGGCTGACAAATTTGAAAATTAACTCTGTGATGCACTTTTGAGTAGAGAGAGAGAGTAATCTAGCAAATACACTCTGCTTTAAATGTGCGAGAGGAATATTTCACACCAACCTTACAAACTATCAGCTCTATCTGTGAATAGGTGTTTATTGGACCTGTTTATGTGCTGAACTGCATCATATCATAGACAGGGTGGAGAGATTTTATAATAATGTTCCTGCTGATGTATGTACACGCATGAACATTACATCTAAATACATCTTGAAGCGAAAAGAATTGAGGTAATCTGTTATAACTTTCCAAATACTTCAGATGTCTTACCTTGTATCCCTCATGTCTATACTTAATGTTTCGTCTCTGATCAGATCTGTAGATGTATTTACTTCTTTATTTAAATAAATGTGTGTACATATAACACAGTATCAGCAGATGTAATAGACTGAGATTAAAAAGAAGATATACAGAAGAACATTTCTGTATGAAGCATAACAAGTTCTAGTGGAGCTATCTGGATATAACTTAAAGGTTTAAAAAGCCATATGATTTCAGCCTTTATAATCAAATGGCACCTTGGGTTACCACGCTAGACTTGACTTGCATTTAGTTGATTAAATAAATCTCTAATTTAATCCTCACAAATATTTGTACACCCTGAGAAAAACTCCTTCAACCGTGTTGTGTATTTAATTTCCATAAACTTGCAAGTCAGCTCTAAGGCTCAACAAGCCCTATATGTTGATATAGAATGTGTAGATATAGAATGTGCAGATATAGAATGTGTAGGTATAGAACATGTAGATATAGAATGTGTAGATACAGAATGTGTAGATATAGAATGTGTAGATACAGAATGTGTAGATATAGAATGTGTAGATATAGAATGTGTAGGTATAGAATGTGTAGATATAGAATGTGTAGATACAGAATGTGTAGATATAGAATGTGTAGATATAGAATGTGTAGGTATAGAATGTGTAGATATAGAATGTGTAGATACAGAATGTGTAGATATAGAATGTGTAGATATATAGAATGTGTAGATATAGAATGTGTAGATATAGAATGTGTAGATATAGAATGTAGAATGTGTAGATATAGAATGTGTAAATATAGAATGTGTAGATATAGAATGTGTAGATATAGAATGTGTAGATATAGAATGTAGAATGTGTAGATATAGAATGTGTAAATATAGAATGTGTAGATATAGAATGTGTAGATATAGAATGTGTAGATATAGAATGTAGAATGTGTAGATATAGAATGTGTAGATATAGAATGTGTAGATATAGAATGTGTAGATATAGAATGTGTAGATATAGAATGTGTAGATATAGAATGTGTAGATATAGAATGTGTAGATATAGAATGTGTAGATATAGAATGTGTAGATATAGAATGTGTAGATATAGAATGTGTAGATATAGAATGTGTAGATATAGAATGTGTAGGTATAGAATGTGTAAATATAGAATGTGTAGATATAGAATGTGTAGATATAGAATGTGTAGATATAGAATGTAGAATGTGTAGATATAGAATGTGTAGATATAGAATGTGTAGATATAGAATGTGTAGATATAGAATGTGTAGATATAGAATGTGTAGATATAGAATGTGTAGATATAGAATGTGTAGATATAGAATGTGTAGATATAGAATGTGTAGATATAGAATGTGTAGATATAGAATGTGTAGATATAGAATGTGTAGATATAGAATGTGTAGATATAGAATGTGTAGATATAGAATGTGTAGATATAGAATGTGTAGATATAGAATGTGTAGATATAGAATGTAGAATGTGTAGATATAGAATATAGAATGTGTAGATACAGAATGTGTAGATATAGAATGTGTAGATATAGAATGTGTAGATATAGAATGTAGAATGTGTAGATATAGAATATAGAATGTGTAAATACAGAATGTGTAGATATAGAATGTGTAGATATAGAATGTGTAGATATAGAATGTAGAATGTGTAGATATAGAATATAGAATGTGTAGATATAGAATGTATAGATATAGAATGTGTAGATATAGAATGTAGAATGTGTAGATATAGAATATAGAATGTGTAGATATAGAATGTGTAGATATAGAACATGTAGAATGTGTAGATATAGAATGTGTAGATACAGATAGAATGTGTAGATATAGAATGTGTAGATATAGAACATGTAGAATGTGTAGATATAGAATGTGTAGATACAGATAGAATGTGTAGATATAGAATGTAGAATGTGTAGATATAGAATATAGAATGTGTAGATATAGAATGTGTAGATATAGAATGTGTAACTATATTAACAAGTTTGGAGGTTATGACATTTGGCTGAGCGGTACAAACTACTTATTGTTGTATAAATGTATCATCAGAACATGTACTGACCAACTACAGTTTAAACATTAGTGTTATAAATACACAAATCTCATTTCTACAAAAGGTGATATGATTGTCAATGACTTTTAAGTACTGAGTTTCACGACTTACAAAAGATGTTAAATGTACAGTAACTTTCAAATATAATTGCTGACATTTTAACAATAATCTTAATAGATTGGGATTAAAATCCTAAAAACCGTACATGGATGCTGAATAGTTCTCTTGTTGCTACTCACTGTACATCATGACTAAGAATTCCTTAAACTTTCATAGGAATTCAAAATGAGCCCGTCTGAAACCTTTAGCCTATTACTAGCAGTAGCTAGTGAACTAAATCCATTAAAAGGTTAACCCATTAGTTTTTTTAGGTGTTTTGAAGGAACCATATTACAGCTATTGTCAGTGCGTTTTCAAATGAACAAACCTTATATTTAAAACCACACAAATATAAAACTGATCTATGACCTAGTCTAAGCCCGATATTATACAGCTGCGATATTGAAACCACCATACTTGTAGGCTTCAATAGTGGCAAATAGGTTTGAGGTTTTGTTATTCTTTTTTTTTTGTATATTAGGTATTTAACATTTTGTAACAGAGTTGTATGGGTGTAATTAAGCATCCCTCTACCCGTAAGTACTGATTACATGACCGTGCCGCTACAACAGTTTTTCTATGTGCACCACAACACTTTGCTGATCTAGATAGGCATTCTACTTTTGCACTGTTTTCAGAATCAATGAGAACTAATTTGATTTCACATTGTTTGATGCTTTTCAGTAACTTTGTCCTAAATCTGATTTCATGTCTGACAAAAAGACTTTATTAATCAATGCAGTGTTCGAAAACTTTAAAGTCATTGAAATTAGCAGACATACTTATTTTCACGTTTTCATTCATGTAGTCAATCACCAATTGAACTTTATTCAAATTTCCATTTGACACATTACAAAAAAAGGTATATTTACAGGTAATTTATACACCTGTTTTTGCCCATTCCAATGCACATGATTATGTCACTGGAAGCAATATTGTGGTAATAAGTAAGCGTACAATTATTAAAGTGATTTTCAGTATATACAAATATTTCTTCATATCCAAGTCAAGGAAAAGTTGTAAAGATATATATATCTAAAACACCAACTTCATCTTTATGAATAACCACACAAAGAAGGTGTTACAAAAAAACATTAACATCTTTTACATTATTGTATTATGTAAGAATTTCATATTTTGCCCCAATGTCCATATATCAATGGTAACTTTAACAGGGGAAACAAACATTGCAGAGAGGTAAGGTAATCTGACACACAGGTCTAACACCCATCAATGACTGACAAACTCACTCATTGGTCCATTGACAGGTCTAACACCCATCAATGACTGACAAACTTACTCATTGGTCCGTTGACGTTACTTATGATCCCGTTAGGGGCTGGTGTGGATGTGGCCTGCGGAAGATGGTTAGAAATCATCAAACCATTTACACTTAATGGTGTATAGGGCACCAAATCTTTATCGTGTCCGTTCACAGTTTTAGCAGGAGTTCTAGGACTAGAGGACATTTTCTCTACAATAATTTCATTGTCTATTTCTGGCACATTTTCTTTGTGATTGTCCACATCCATTGGTTCTTGTTTCGGTACCCCATGTCCTCGTGAAGAGCGATGCGACTGTGGTCGGTCTGGGCGGGTATCTGTACGGCGGGCTACCGAAGGTTGTTGTATTTCCTCCTGTACAGCTACATCCTGGTCCCGCGCTCCCTTACGGCTTACCACTGGGGACGGGGTATGTTCCCGGCTGGATGACCGAGATGTACGATGTGAGCGTTTGGGTGACTTTTTCGGGGACGGGGACAAGGAGGTATCCCCTTCTGGATCCCTGTGTTTGGCGTTTTTGGCACCTGAAAAAAACAATACAGAATTTGAATAAAGTAAAAAACATTCCAAAAATATTTGTTTTCATTCAAGTTATAATTTGCCGTTAAAGTCAGCACTGGTTATGAACGTCAAAAACTATCCTCTTTGTTCACACCAGAGAACTATATTCCCGAAGTTTATTATTCAACAACATGCCCCTTCACATCAATATCTACAATCTCGCTGTGAACATGATCGCAGATTATAAACACCAGTTTCAGTGACAGCAACTTGACCTCCAAGGTCAAACACAAAAGGTCAAGGTTCATCTACACCATGAACAACTTGAACTACTGCAAGCCATACAGAAAACACCTACATGTATAACTCCAATGATAACAGATAGTTATGTTGAATTTAATGCAAAACTCCCAGAACACTCCAACATTCTCCGATCAAATAAAATCTGCACAATAGGTCTGTCTTTACAATTTCTGTAGGCGATCGCGTTAAATTTGATACTACATCGTAGATAGATCTCTGTGGACAATATCAAAGCGTGGCTATACCCGTAATTACAGCCGTAACAAACCCCTGGGGATATCCTCAGACTAGAGATACAGAAATTCAGGTTAACATGGCCTTCCAACATATATTTACCTTTCCTGATAAATGACTTTCTGAAAACAGCCATTTCAATACTCAACAACTTACAATGTGCAACAGCAGAATTTCTTACCTTTAATAGAAAAAAAAACTTCTATTAAAATCCAATATTTTCTTGTAATGACGGAAAGCCGAAAATATCCATTTCAAAATCTAAATTGGAGTAAATATATATAAACACTGATAAAGCCACCAGCCCTATACACTACAGGTTTTACCCTAACAGAGACATTGTACAACTTTACCTGGAAAAACACCTGTCTGTCAGCTACTCTACACTACATATGTTTGCTCAATTCCATTCCTAAATATCACCTTAGGTCGCCTTAAATACATACTGGTATGGTCAGGACTTTAAGCACTTACATTAGATTATGTTCACAGTTAATAACTTAATCCATTTATAAACTCATTTTGAAAGCACAATCTTAAACCAATAAACAGTTCAAAAGGGAATCTGCAGGGAGTCAACCCAGGTGTAGGTACATGTACATGTACAGTATACTATTTACCACAGGTAGTAAAGTGTGTAATACAGGGAGTCAACCCAGGTGTAGGTACATGTACATGTACAGTATACTATTTACCAAAGGTAGCTAGTAAAGTGTGTAATACAGGGAGTCAACCCAGATATAGGTACATGTACATGTACAGTATACTATTTACCACAGGTAGTAAAGTGTGTAATACAGGGAGTCAACCCAGGTGTAGGTACATGTACATGTACAGTATACTATTTACCACAGGTAGTAAAGTGTGTAATACAGGGAGTCAACCCAGATATAGGTACATGTACATGTACAGTATACTATTTACCACAGGTAGTAAAGTGTGTAATACAGGGAGTCAACCCAGATATAGGTACATGTACATGTACAGTATACTATTTACCACAGGTAGTAAAGTGTGTAATACAGGGAGTCAACCCAGATATAGGTACATGTACATGTACAGTATACTATTTACCACAGGTAGTAAAGTGTGTAATACAGGGAGTCAACCCAGATATAGGTACATGTACATGTACAGTATACTATTTACCACAGGTAGTAAAGTGTGTAATACAGGGAGTCAACCCAGATATAGGTACATGTACATGTACAGTATACTATTTACCACAGGTAGTAAAGTGTGTAATACAGGGAGTCAACCCAGATATAGGTACATGTACATGTACAGTATACTATTTACCACAGGTAGTAAAGTGTGTAATACAGGGAGTCAACCCAGGTATAGGTACATGTACATGTACAGTATACTATTTACCACAGGTAGTAAAGTGTGTAATACAGGGAGTCAACCCAGATATAGGTACATGTACATGTACAGTATACTATTTACCACAGGTAGTAAAGTGTGTAATACAGGGAGTCAACCCAGATATAGGTACATGTACATGTACAGTATACTATTTACCACAGGTAGTAAAGTGTGTAATACAGGGAGTCAACCCAGATATAGGTACATGTACATGTACAGTATACTATTTACCACAGGTAGTAAAGTGTGTAATACAGGGAGTCAACCCAGATATAGGTACATGTACATGTACAGTATACTATTTACCACAGGTAGTAAAGTGTGTAAAACGGGGAGTCAACCCAGATATAGGTACATGTACATGTACTGTATGCTATTTACCACAGGTAGTAAAGTGTGTAATACAGGGAGTCAACCCAGGTGTAGGTACATGTACAGGTATAGTATACTTTTTACCACAGGTAGTAAAGTGTGTAATACAGGGAGTCAACCCAGATATAGGTACATGTACATGTACATGTACAGTAAACTATTTACCACAGGTAGTAAAGGGAGTAAAACAGTATTTACTGAAATTTCATCAACATACAGGGGATAAATCCTTAATATTGACATGACATCAGAATGCAAGAGGGTAAATCCTATATATTGACATTCCATTGGCGTGCAAGACGGTAAATCCATTATCTTGACATTACATAAGCATGCAAGAGGATAAATCCTATATAACGACATCACATCGGCATACAAGATGGCCGGGTGAATCCTATATATTGACATCACATCACCATGCAAGTAGCTATAGGTATATCTGATATATTCATGACATTACATCTATGGCAAGGGGGTAATAAAACCTTCCTTACTGATATTAGATTGGCAGGCAACAAGGTTAAACCTGGATACTGACATAAGCTCAGCATTTAAGAGGTAAAACAAACCTTGACATTAGACGCATATTGACCTTGCATTGAAATGCAAGACAGTTAACAAAACTCAGCACATGCTTCGAATTCACGACATTCAGAGATACTAACATGAGATGACTAAGCCGACACATTCAACATTTATCCCTGGTTTTGTACAGTAAGTCAGGGATTATCTATAGCCTGCTATCAGGCTATCCAGGTGATTAGTCTTATAAAAGATCTACACACCTCCACACACAGGTAGATCTCTGATACTGATAACATTTGTCACACTTTCCATCAGATTTTAATTTTTCAGGTGAATATTGATGTGCACTAAATGCACTATCTCAGTCAAACATGTATGAATCATTGATATCATTAATTTTATGTTTACATGTGCCACATGGTAGTCCTTTGTAAATAGGGTCAACATCAGGCAATTAATATCATCAATATCTTAATGTTAATGTAAAAACATGCTGGTGTACGGCACAGCATTGTATAATGTAAAGTAGGAACCACTGGACAGGTCAGCTTGTGAATGTTAAAAGGGTTGAGTGTTTTAGGTTTGTATTAATTAATTAATCTATATACCCGCCCTCCCCTCCAGGCTAGACCCTCCAATTGTCCCTGCAGTTGTGTATTCCATATACATGTTGATACTGTGGTATTACAGCCAGACTATAGCCAGCTGAATCAGTACTGGTAATCTATGTGTGCTATGTGTTTTTTGAGCATAACCAACTCAGAATTCCAGCCAAAATTAGTAAGTTGGGTTTTTCTAGAAATTCTAAGAATTTTCTGGACATCCTATGAACCCCAATTACATCCTCTCAGCCTCACTCATTCATGACTCTATCCCCTCCCCTACCTTCCATTACAAAAAAATCATGACTCAACAACAGCTCCCTCCCCCATTATTACAATACCCCTTCACCCTGACTCATCCCCCCCCCCTATCTTTCCATTACAATACCCCTTCA